AAATCAGACATTAGACTTGAGAATGAGCCTTATTTTAGAATTATCAATTGATATACTGCGTGTAATACTTTTAATAAAGATATCCTTTTTCTTGCTTTAAGTTATTAAGTCAACTTGATACTGGAAAATTTGAGTAAAATATTAAGTAAAAATAGAACATATGCAGCGTCGGAATTGAAAATTCACAGGTAAATATCCGACAGTTTAAGTTTTCTTAAGAGAAAATGTATAATTCATGTATAATGTATAATTTTTTACAAAAAATCTACAGAATGATTCAAATGGGTCCTAGAATAAAATAGGTAAAAATAAAGAAAATTGAACCGGTGGTTTCAGATATTTTTGTGATCAAAAAAATTTCAATGGCAAAAAAAACTTTAAGATTCAGTATATGACGTCACAATATTTGACCTTTGACCTCTTGATATGACCTTGACCTTAGTAGTACATAAAGAATGGAGACTTGTTATATATGTGTCCAAATATCATTCCTGTACTATGTATGGAACAAAAGTTACACTGCATTTTATAACAGACTATCACATGCTTGTTTATTACACTTAGTTAGCATAAAAACATTCCAAAATGTAAGCCCCCAAGTGACCAATATATAGGATTCTCTGATTTTTTCACAAAATATGACGCAAACATGCCAAAACTTATTATTTTTCTTACAGGGATCATACATTGTTGTCAATATAGTAATTTTATTCTTCTTTTCTCTGGTACTTTTTAAGAAATGGGTTAAAATAGAATCCACGGGTGTTTTGTCCTACCTTAATTACTTAATTTAAAATCATAATTAAATGATAAGAATTAAATGTAATATTCTTCGCTTGATCGACGTATCAAAACAAATATTTGAACGGAAAACGTTTTCATCGATGCGTCATTTCTTTAATTAATTGCATAAATTATTTCAATAAGTTCAGGTGCATGTGCGTGAAGCTAACCATATCATCGAATCTAAACTATAAAGATATTTTAACATTATTAGGTCACTCAGGTGACCTATTACTATCCGTTTTCGTCCATCGACGTTCGACGTCCGCCGTGTGCTTATATTTGAACATTTTCAGCTTCTTCTCTGAAACCAGGTAACACATTTCACTCAATTTAGGTTAAAGCATCTATGGGTGATGGGGAACAGAAATGGTGAATTTCCCTGTCCCCCTGGGGCCTGAAGAACTTCGCCAAAACCACCTCCATGGAGCCTGCGGGTGGGACCTTAGCTACTACAATCAATGCAATCTTTTAAAATCTCCCTAACACCTGGATATCAAGCTGTCAAACTGTTGGCACGATTGTAATAAGCATTGAGTCCTCTACCCAAATTATGAAATTCATGGCCTCATGGTCAGGGGTTCTGATGGTAGGGACGGGCCATATCGATTATATAGGGAAAGTGCGTTATTTCTTTGAAAATCTTCTTTTCTGCTCCTGAGTATTAAACAAAAATGTTTAATGTATAGTTATCAAGAGAAAGAATGTCTCTTTCAAAATTGTGAATTTCATGGCTCCGGAGTTAGGGATTCTGGTGTTAGGGCAAGACTCTATTGGTTGTATAGTGAAAAAGCATTAACCCTTTGATTGATTGATTGATTGATTATATACTGTTTAACGTCCCTCTCCAGAATATTTCACTGATATGGAGACGTCACCATTGCCGGTGAAGGGCTGCAAATTTAGGCCTATGCTCGGCACACACGGCCTTTGAGCAGGGAGGGATCTTTATCGTGCCACACCTGCTGTGACACGGGGCCTCGGTTTATACGGTCTCATTCCAAGGACCGCCCCATTTAGTCGCCTTTTACGACAAGCAAGGGGGTTCTGAGGACCTATTCTAACCCGGATCCCCATGGGACCCTTTAAAAGTTTGAAATTAAGTTAACGGATTTAAATTTTTTGTAAAAATTGAATAAGTATAAGTTTATTAGTTATTAAATGCTAAGAACAACATTTCATAAAATCCTTAATATAAGAAATTTGACATACCATAAATATAGTCTTATAAATGGCATACTTATGAGATTTCGTTTTTCATAAATAAGTATATAAATGCCCCTCCCATCCCCATCTTGTCTACAAATGTTATTTGTCTTTCAAAATTCTTCTGTTATTTAGGAAGCAATTTCAGTTCGAGAAGGCGAACATTTTTTGTTCAGGGGCACTATTAAAAAAAGTCATCAGACGTTTTAGTGATTAGGGGTGACGTGCATTTAGTAGTTATGTTTTCTATATCATTCTAAATATCTGGAAATTAGAGGGGGTTCTCCCCCTCCGTATTAACGACTATGTTATTCTTTGTAAAAGTAACAATAATATTTGAAAAGCTACTGCAACAATTACTAAGGTCAAACTGCTCAAATGAGCGTAACTTATTTGATCTTTGCTTATAATGATGCAACACAGCATTCACCGTTTGTGATGTTTAAAAAGAAGATAAGATATCTTGACCTTCAGTTCTTTTGTATGACGTTTGAATGCTATATCTTTCCTCACACTTAATAAACGGAGTAATGCAGTTCATTTCATTGGTTAAATTTCGATATGCAAGAGTATGTTATACGTCTGAACATTTTTCTTTTAAAAAAAGGTAAGTTATTGACCAACAAGTTGATGAAACAAGAATATCAGCAGTCTCGTTTTAAGTCATCATTTCGTAGGTTCTATGGTCGACCTTGTCAGTAAACTCAATTTATCATTGAGTCAAATATTGACTGACGTTCTTCATACTAATTGTTAGTCCATTATTTATACACTGAATTAACGAAGGATATTGAGATAACGAACAGTATTCAATATCAAAGTCCAGAAAACAATACAAAATAGGCGCAGAGCAAATACGGACCTCTGAAACATCAAATGTGCCATGAAGGAGTGAACATCCCCTGCTGACCGGTCACACCCGCCGAGTGCGCCTTGTCACGATCGGGGAATAACGGAAAAAATCCTTTGTCTACCCAGTGTATAAATAATAAATAAACAATAAGTATGAAGAACGTCAGTCAGCATTTAACTTATTGATAAATACAATTTACTGACAAGGTCGACCATAGAACCTACGAAATACGGATTTTTTCCCGTTGTTTCCCGATCGTGACAAGGAGCACACGGCGGGTGCGACCGGCCGGAAGGCGATGCTTACTCCTCTATGGCATCTGATCCTACCTGTGATCTTTTGAAGGTTCGTGTGTATCAGAAATAAGTACTTCCTTCATTGTCAATCATTTTCTTCATGATATCATCAAATTGACAAAAAAAAAAAAAAAAAAAAAAAAATAGATGAAATTAGATTAAAAAAATATAATACAAATATATTAACACTTTACTGGATAATAAGCTTATACCAATATTATGTAGAACACAATAGAACTATATATCAGGAAATTTATTTCATTGTTATATAAGATAAAAAAAACCCATTGCTTTGTAAACATCGAAAACACCATTAGGATTACAATAATAACACCATAATCTATCATTGTAGATTTGACTTTGTATGTACATGTAAAAGTGACCTCACGATGGACTGAATGTCGTAATTCAATCACTAATGTTAAATAAACAACAAGTAACACGTCGTGAACACATCATAATTATAACATTCAGTTAGGCTTAATCATCATGAGAGTCCCTGTTATATCATCATCATACTCAAGTGGCGGATTCCATGACATGTACCAGTCTGAGGACGGGGACCAGGGACCGTTGAGGTTGGCGTAGGAACACCAGTTATACCACCACCCGCCGCCTCGTCCGTGTGTAGCAGCACAGTTAGTCCACCTACTCCTGTCATTGTCTCTGTCCAGGGTGGAGAATGACATCCCGGACAGACTGAGGGAAGATTTCCCTGTGTCTAATATTACGTCACCTACAGTAATCAGGGAAAAAATATCAGACGGTTATATACGTCAAATGATAAAATTTTATTTATATTTATTTAACATTACACAACCATATACATGTTTATCAAAAAGATAATCCTTGTTTATGATAATATAAAGCTGAGGACTGGGGTAGAAAGAAACACTCGATCTGTTGGACCGGAGTGTAAGCCTAAGGCCGTAGGCGTCAATAACATGCTTTCCATTCAAATGTAGTATTGCGTTTCTCAAATAAATTAGAAATCTCTCTCTCTCTCTCTCTGTTTATTGATTTTCACATATTTAACCTATTACTTACCCAATGTCCCGGTAGCTGGACCACCAAGATAAAGTGTTGTTTTCTGATTCATCAGAAACAGAGAACTGTTCATATCTTTCATACAAAGTGGTGCCATTTTTTAATGTGATGGAGACGTAGAGGGATGAGTTCCTTCCCTTTGTCAGCTCGTGAATCACGTCATTTCCTTCAATATGTCATTGTTCTAGTTTATTTATCAGGAATAAAAATGATAAAATATTTTTTTTTCATTTCAGGGTCACTTGGTCAAATACAACCAAATACAATTAAATATTTTTGCAGAGATGTCAGCAATCGACTTGATTTTAAGTTGCATTACACTTAAATTATAAGGAATCTTTATGATTACATGTATTTATAGCATGATTAGGTTTATTTTTATTAAAATTAAGAAACAAAGAAATCTAAAATTTTACTTATTACATAAAAGATCATATCGTAACAGAAACACACCTATCCAGTAAGAGTCAGCTGTATTCCCAAACCCTTTCTTGTATTCACCCAAGTTCATACTAATTTCTTATTTCAAAACATTAAACATACTTGTATGCTAACTTCACAATGGAGACTTTGCTTAATTACAAATACTTATTTTGCTTATTTTGTACTCTTTTAGTTTATATAAACCATGATAAAATAGACGTAAAGTCTAATAGCTTTCATTTTCTGATCAGTTTTGTAAGCTAAGTTTTATATCCAGATTCTGCTGTTCATTATGCTTTTCTTAGTTATATTTTGGAAAGAATATACATGTATTGGATTTTATTAACTCGAGGCTCCCATGTCTTCAACGTGTAAACTTAAAATGACTTCAGCTAGTTTAACTTTTAATAAAATGATATGCCAATAAAATGATATTTCATACTAATTCAAACGCCAGTTTTTATTTAGCCAGAAGGTGAAAAGTAGAAATTTAAAGATATTCAGATATCAAAGTATTATAATTTTAAAAGTAAGACATGGATTTTGTATCAGAGAGAGAGAGAGAGAGAGAGAGAGAGAGAGATCTTACTATCCACCCTCCGTCCCCCTTTTCCATATCGCAGAACACTTTTAGCCTGGTCTCGGTATCAAAAGGATAAATTGTATATACCCCAGACTGTTTGTGTCCGGTAATATACATGTAGAGATCCTGACAATCCACTAGTTTTAAACCTGAATTTAAACGAAATACATTTATGATAATGAATTGATCATATAAATGAATAAACAAATCAAAATTGAGAGAGAGAGGAGGTGTACTTACCTTTCTTGACGATTTGGACATCTCCATGCGTCTTGGTTACATCTTCCTCGAGTCTCCTCACCATCAGCCTGAGGGAATCTACAGGTTCTTGGATCCTCTCTTGTTGAATCAGACGTCCTCGAATTTGTGATATTGTCTCTCCATTACTGGCGCAGCAAGTGTTTTCTTTCGAGTAAATGTACTGAGAACTTGTACACAAGAAGCTGCAAGCAAGGAAGGCTGCCCATACCATTGCCATGTTTCAATTTTCTTGTTGTTTACGTAACTAATATTGTTTCTAGAATGAAGCGTTTTGGAATATAAGCAGAGCTTTATATATATATATATATATATATATATATATATATATATATATATATATATATATATATATATATATATATAGGTAAAATTAAAATAAAAAAGGCAACACAGATTAAAACGTTAGCGCTTTCATTACATCTTCAGACGTTTTACAAATGCATACTTTATCCTAACTGCAATGTCTTACAACACTATTAATACTTTAAAAATCATTATCTATAATTGAATCTGACAGCAAGCAATTAAATGCTTGCAGTTTGCTCACACCTTTGAAACCAAATCCGACATGTGTTTATACTCTTAGCCGGAGAACATCGAAAGGTTACACTCTGTGTGAAAGTTTTGTCAGAAATCAAATTAAATCAAACTGTTAAGACTGGGATTAAATTTTTGAATGAAGTATTTTTCTTTTTCTCTTCTTTCAGTTATATTGTCTTGAAAAAGTTTATAAAAAGGGAACACTTTAAATTGTCCTTGTCCGCATCTATCAATATGTTCGCTGAGTTTTATCTTACGGTACTCAAGAACTTGAATATGCTGTTTATGCACGCGAATTCTGGCTCTCAATGTGGTCCCCGTTTCACCGATGTAGAATTGGTTGCATCCTCCTCAAGTAATAACATATATTAAATTTTTGGACTCACATGTCATGTCTGAATTAATAAAGAAATCTTTTCCTTTGAAATTAAATGACGCTCCTTCTCTTAAAACAGAACACGTGCCACATCGCGGATCTATACACTTTGTCACGGATTTTGTTGATTTCGTTATTTTAGAGGGACAGAGTATTCTTCTGAGGTTTTTGGGCTGCCTTTTGCTGTTTATAAACTTGAATTTTGAAAGAACATTTGACATTTCTTCATCCGTTTTGAGAGGAATTCACTAAGTTATTTAGAACTTGTTTCCAATCCTTTTGATTGATATCAATAAACTACGTTCAAAACAAACAAACAAACAAACAATCCGTTTTGAGAATTTCGTTCAGATTTTGAACGATAGGTGTAATATTTTGGTTTTTAGGATTGTAAGTTGTGACTAGTGGTAATATTTTAATATTTTCCTCATCATTAGGAGTTGGATTAATTAATTCTTCTCTGTCTAATTCCTTTGCTTTTCTGATGCCGTCGTTGATTAAGCTTAAAGGATAATGTTGGTCTGTGAGATATATTTTCAATTCATCCAGACGTTGATTTCTGGTTTCCTCCTCACTTACTATTGTGCATATTCGTCGGGCTAGGTTGTAAGGTATTGCTCTTTTAATGTGTCGTGGGTGGGAAGATCCAAAATGCAAATATTGATGAGTGTCAGTACTCTTATAAAATATATCTGTTGCAATTTTTTTGTTTTCCTTACAGATTAATACATCTAAAAATGGTAATTGAGTAGAACTTTTTTTTCCATTGTAAATTTAATATCTGGGTCTAATTCATTTAAAATTTCATTTAAAATGTTCAAATCTGAATCATCTTTTTTTTTCCATATAATAAAACAATCATCCAGATATCTTTTCCAGTTTCTCTTAAGATATTCGCAAAATTCTGCATCAAGCTGTTCATTAGTTTTTTCATATAGTGCTTCTTCTAGGTATCCAAGGGTAAGTGTTGCATATGTAGGGGCCATTTTGGTGCCCATGGCTGTATCTTTCACTTGATGAAAATATTTTTCATTGAAAGTAAACACATTGTTCTTTAAAACTAATTCGGTAGCTTCCATTAAAAATTCTTTTGTAAACCGGTTGTCAATTTCATTTCTGTAATTTTCAATCCAAAAATTTAAAGCCTTGATTCCTAAGGTACTGGTTATATTGGTTTACAGATTTACTACATCTAAAGTTACAAGTTGTGTATTAATATCGACCTGTTTAGGTAGATGTCGTAAAAAATCTAAATCGTCCCGGACAAAACTTTTAACGTGTTGGCAGACAGGTTTCAACACTATATCTAGTAGATTGCTGAGACGTTGGGTAGGTGCTTCGGGTCCTCCAACAATCGGTCGGAATGTTAGATCTTGTGGATTTTCACAAACAATATATTCGGCGTTTTGTTTTTTTATAACTTCTTTAATTAATTTTGATTTGTGTATTTTAGGTAGCCCATAGAAACAACTTTCCTTATGGTCAAAATTAGTTACAAAATCTTCCTCCTTTTCTGTTAATACTGAGGAGTGTTTATGTAACAATTTCTTAATTTTTTGCATAGCTTTTTTATCCTGGTTTCCAGCAACTTCTGTGTAGAATTCTGTATTCGAAAGCATATGTGTTATCTTTCTTTCATAGTAAGCTGCGTTCATAATAACCACGGCTCCTCTTTTATCAGCTTCTTTAATGATGATAGTTTTATCGCTTGCTAAGGATCGTAAAGCTTTCTCCTCGTTTTTGGACAAGTTATTTCTTACTGATTTATTATGTGTGGTATCAAGCGTTAGACTTTGAAGAGTTTCACAAACAGTATCTAACATACCATTTCGTCCTTTTTTGGGATTGAAATTAGATTTATTTCTAAATATTTACATTTCCAATGTCTTTGTCCGAGATAAAGTTACCAATTGTAAATGTAAATTATTTCCTCATGAATGTTTTGGCGCGGTTAAAAAAAAAACACGTGTAGGGCGGGACAACACCTAGAGAGAAGCAGGCTTGGAGCCCGTGGACTGGCGGAATCAAAGCATGTAAATATAAGGAATAACTGTCAGATTTTTCGAATTCATGAAGATGATCAATGGATTGGCTTGTGTGATAATTTTATGCATAAACGCCTTCGGCGTTTATGCAAATTATCACACAAGCCAATCCATTGATCACTTCATGAATTCGAAAAATAAGACAGTTATTCCTTAATTAAATCCTCCGGTTCATTTGAGTCCGATTCATCACTCTCTGTGGTGTTAAAGTATTCTGCTAGTCGTAATCTACGTGTGTATTCTTTAATATCTTTTTTTTAACTCTTGTTTATTACTATTAGGAGTCGGTGTATATTTCAATCCCTTTGACAAAAGTTTTATTTCCCATTCCTTTAGTTGTTTACTAGACAAATTGATCACTTTTGGTTCTATGTATATATATATATATATATATATATATATATATATATATATATATATATATATATATATATATATATATATATATCCCCGAACAGGGTAGTTTAAAATTTAACCAATCTGTTTTCGTCATAAATATATTTTAATCACTTGTACAATTTTATTTTCCAAAACTATCATAGTGAACAATTTTGGTTGATTTTAAGTGATTATACAAAAGAACCACAAAAACTATACAAAAACACATACAACTGAAAGACTCAAAAGCGGCATAGTCACGAGGAGCCAATAATTACTGCATTTTAAGGAAATATCACTTACTTCATTTAGCAAAAAGAATAAGAACACGGGTCTTCAATTCCAAATATCCATGGTGTGAAAGCAATACGCTGCATCACATTTATAAAATACATATAATCCCAAAAATGATTTGACTGTGCAGGGCTGAAAAATTAAGTGGAAGACATGCGCTTAAAATTGGTTCTTTCCGAGAAAAGTTTTACAAAGGAAGATGTAAATAGAGAAAATGATCAGCTAAACATCATTATGCAGAGGAAAAATATTAATAAATATGATTTGTTAATTGAATGCTCAACATTTTCATTCCTGTACAACTTAAATTTTCCCTGTTCAATTTTCTACACCACGTTTCTTTCAGATTTCGCCCCCCCCCCCCCCCCCCCGAAAAAAAAATGAATTCTAGACTTATTTTACTCGCATGGAAAAAAAACCCAATACATTTGCTTCTCTGATTTGGATCTCTATCTGTACGCATCTATGATGATAACGTTTTTGAACGTCAAAGGAAAATGTGTGGTTGAAGAAAGGATGTGGGTTCCAAGTCTCCTTTTAACAAACTGGGTTTAAAATTATTTAAGTGGGGATGGGGACTTGGTTGGCTTGCCGCACTGCAATAGAAACTTGAGATTGAGGGGGTGCATCGCTACATACCTTACATTGAAAAATTCCATAGACACTCAGTGGAAATGGTGATGTCAACCCGAGCATAGTGGTATTATCGTGAAAAGAGTAACAGAAAGTACTTGAACTGAAAAGTCACAAGAACAAATTTAATACCATAATATCTTTTGTTTTTCTAATTAAATGTCGAATATAAGGTGTTTGAAATCGACTTTCAAAAGTTTCTCGAAATATGCAAAATTATTTGGATATGTACATAATTCGGTACCGTCGAATGAAAAAATCATTTTTTTTTTACAATGAACACGTTTTGAGATAAGTATCATTATAAAGCACAATTTAGGAGAGGATGCGTGTCACGTGCACTTATTAATGTTTCTTTGTTGGTATAACCTTACCAAGTAGACTGAGTTCGTTTTCGACGAAAAGCAGGCGAAAATAAAACATATATATAAGAATGAATAATGTCATGTATTTTGTAAATGATGAGAAGATATTTCTACATAATAGGGAGTTCTTGATAAACATGCTACTGATGTAATAATACACATGGTGCTGAGTGCAATCATGATAATACAATAGGACAATTGATATATACACAAAACACAGTGTGATAACAAAAGAAAGAGATTATGCAACACAGGGACCAAAAATACACGACAGTCATCATACTGCAAAAACCTATTTGAGTATATTTTGTCAACTTATGTAATTAGTTGGAAATACTCTTTAACCCAAACCTTTCTTGGAATTTGGGTAAGAAGAAATAAATAATTGTTTTCTAATTTTTGAGAGATTTGATTGTCAAGTTATTTGTGTACCCTCCCCCCACCCCGAAATATGACAATTAAACAACCCTTTTTCTTCCTTAAAACCTTCAAAGGATTAATACATACATGTCAAACAGACAAGTACCACTCTTTTCAAACGCAGGAAAAAATAATTGTCCAGTTAAAATTTGGAAAAATAATTTGGGAAAAATACATGAGAAAACAAGA